GAAACATGAGTTTTTCCACTTAACACACATAATGAATAGAAGGCAGATAAGCAAGATAAAATGTTACTGTTAGAATCTGGGTGGTGGGTACACAGATGATTACTGTAAAGTCCTTTCAACTTTTTCATATGATGAAAATTTTACAATAAAATGTTGAAAAAGAATAAATCATGCATATATTCCATGTCAATTTCAATGTCTATATAGTATTCTATTTTATGGATATGGCGTAATTAAATTAACCATTCCTGCACTGGTCTATAAATGACATTTTGGTTATTTCCAATTTTTCTTTATTTTAAAAAACACTATTGAATAAATTAAAGAGACTGCTTTTAATCTTACATAACAAGCATTATCCTCCACATTCCAGCAAAAGTGATCTTTCAATAAAAATCCAAGTGTCGTGTCAGATCACTGTACTACTTAAAATTCTTCACTAGCTCCCTACTGCCTCAGAAAAGAATCCATCCTCCTTAACGTGGATTGTAAAGCCCTTCATGATCTGGCCTTTTAAACATTTCCAGTCTTACCAAATTTCATTCCCCATCTTCCTCAACTGCCCCCATAATTTATGCTTTAGTAACACTGAGTTGCTTGTCGCTCCCCTAGGACATTTTGTATCCTCCCACATGTGAGTACATGCATGGATGTGTGGCAAATTCTCATTCATCTGTCAAAATCCAACTCTGATGTCCTCCCTAGGAAGAGCTACCCTGCCACCATTACTTCTTCCAGTATGGTTGGATCCTTACTTAATGCAACTTACATACATTTTGTTGCTTCCAATGCTGCACTTATCACTCTGCATTACAATTCACTTATGTTTTAAAATTACAAAATATTTCAAATCATCAGAAAAATAATGAAGACACATGTACACAATATGCGGAATTAATAAAAGTTAACTTTTGGCCACATTGGTTTGGATTATTAAGGAAAACACATGACAGACAGAGAGTACCCTTTCTCAATCTTATCGCATTCTCTTCTTCCCCGGGGCATTTTCGGTACCATGAAATTGATGTGTATACTTCTCTCTCACAGTTTTCCACTTTTATTTTATTACATATATGCACACCTAAATAACATTGTTTTTAAATATTATGTACATGGTATCATATACTACTTATTCAACTATCGTGTTTGTGGGGCTTATCCATGCTGACAGAGGGAATTTAGTTCACTCCTTTTAACTGCCGCATGAAATTGCATTACATAAACACAGCCCAATATTCCATCCAAAATGAACATGGGCGAAGGTATGTGTTTCCTTCTCAAGAATCTACGAGCTTGGGTTGCTAATGCCAATGCTCTACATGGTGACCTCTGCCAGTTCTACTCCTTCTCTCCCTTTTGGAAGAATTTATTAGGAATAAGATGAAGTAGTTTACACATTTTACCAGACTTTTGACTCGGAATACCACCTGGCTACGGACCGAGTGACACTAACTGTGTCAACAGCCGCAGTTACTGACGTTTCCTTACCCAACCTGCACTGGCACAGTCTCAGGGGAGTTGGATAGCTGAGGCTGTCTTTTCAGGACTCGGATAATTTCCAGTGAACTAGAATAGAAATGTGTTTCAGACAGTCTTCCTTTCAACTTGCACCTCAGTGACCTGGTACCACTTTTGGGGGAACTAGATATAATTTTGCCGAGTCCCTCCCTTCACTGGCCTCCCCTTCCCTCAACACAGAGAATACGAGTGTGTAAGCACCACGTGCAGGTAACAGGGTCTCACTGTCACCTCCTTGTGAAAGGAGTGGACTGAAAGACTCTACAAGATACTACGTGTGGGATCTAACTACTTCCAATGAGAAGGACTCCAAAACAGTTACTCTAAATCCAGTCGTGGTCTAACATTTCACTCTCCTATGATTAACAATACAAAACAGCAAGTTAACTTATTCAGATAATTCAATATACACTTTATAAATAGTCACTTTAGTAGGCATATTAGTAAGTTATAATATTTTATGGGCTGTACGAAAATTTTTAAAAAGATTGCCAGGGTAGACTTCTGGTTTTAATTGCTTTACGCTTTTTCTAGGGTAAAGGAATTACTGCCATGCTCTATGATGCAAGACTTTGGGTTCTTCATCTTCTTTTCATTTGTGTGCTAGAAAAAATCTAAAATTGTTTCTTAAGGGGTGTATTAGCTTAGCCTGATTCTTGGCCCTTGGCAGGGGGAATGGCCTTCTCTGTAGGCATGTGTCTCTGGAAGCCACTCAGCTGTCAAAAGAGGGGTGTCAATATTACCTTGTGAATCAGTTCATTGTTACAGTTCTCCACTTAAGGGACAAAGCAAACTAAAAGCTCTCCAGACACTTGTCAAGCAAAGCTGAACCCCAAGCACATTGCTGCTGATGACTTACAAAAAGCTGTGTCGAAACAATACTTATGGAGAGCTGCCTGAGACGAACAGTCTGCATATGAACAGAATTGGTTTGATATGCT